TATAGTGCCGACAATTTACGCAGCAGTGTACATGTAAGCGGGCTTAGGGTGTAGTGGCTTCACAGAGGTAATCACACGTAATGGTATTTTGAACAAGATAACCTTTATTACCGGAGGGACGGTAGTAGGAAGAGTATTTACAATAGTAAGGTCAGCAGTTTCACTCCAGGCATGGAGACACAGGTACACAGTACAGTCAGTTCTGATATGAACGTTAGTAGTATTCGTTAGCACTATCAGCACCTCCCACTAACTGGCAAAGTACAAATCCAATCACACAAGGTGTATCTGTAAAGGCGGAGAACACGTTACCCGGGAGCAGCAGTATTCGTTCCATACAGCGAGATACGAGTCTGGCACACTCTTCCCGCACTCACAGCGCGGACACAGGTTTGGCTATAAGCACTGGGAGTCTTTCATCCGACCAGAACTGCCGATGCAGGACTCCGTAGGAACCCTGAACCATCCCTCACCGGCCGGAACACTTTCCCTGAACTCTCCCTCACAAGCATGGTACCTGTCCCTGTCTACTTTCACACTTGTTCTGCCCAAAAACGTGGTTGGGCTTCCTATATAAGATAACCACCCCAAAATGGCCGACCAAATCTCCCGAGAATTCCTGTCCTATCAGGACACCAGGCTTCTCTAAAATGGTGCTGGAGACAATTATAGAGGCTAAACAGTTCTGAACATATTTACACATAAACATATCAAAATCGGCTGAAAGTAGTTATATACACTTATTAACCCACTTTATCCTGCAGCCAGCTAGGCTGCACTGTCACTGGCAACTGCCTACATACATACTGCACAATAACATCAGTTCCTGTCCTCAAGGAGCTCACAATCTAAGGTCCTTATTGAGCCAATTAACCTACCAGCATATCCTTGGATTGAGGGAGGAAACCCACACAAGCACAGGAAGAACATGCAAACTCCTTGCAGATAGTGTTCTGATCAGGATTTCAACCACAATCCCAAAATTTACCCCTGATCCAAAAGTACATGCACCAAGCCCAAAGCAACCTCCCAAATTCCACAGTGCACTTCCCATATCCCCCAATACCAAAGTGTACTCTAATCCCATAATGCGCTGCTGATCCCAAAGTACATGACCCAAAGCCAAAGCGTTTTCCCAAATTCCATAGTTCACTGCTCAACCTCATAATGTCCCCCCAATCCCATAGTGCACTCTAATCCTATAATGCGCCCCTGATCCCAAAGTACATGCTTTAAACCCTAATTGTTCTCCCAAATTCCATACTACACACCCAACTCTGTAGTGTACTCCCAATCCCAAAGTATCCCATCCAATCTCAAAGTGCACTCCCCCAATCCCAAAGTGTGCATACAATCCTAAATAAACCCCCACCCCCAAATCACTGTAA